TTATCACTGAACTCATATTTTGGACTATCTGAAAACAAGATGAAAAAATAGTTCATCAATGCAAATATCTTACAACTATGGCACATCTCTCAACATCTGATAGTATGTGATTGTGATAGATTAAGGAATATTCCAACTATATGGCAGTAGCCTGTAAATCGAGCCTAGACCAGAAAATCCAGTGATCAATAGCATGAGCATCAATCTACGCAAATGGGACCGAGATTAAAGAATGCTTTATCATATGATGGATAGTGTTTTTCATGCAATATACAATCTACCGTCATCACAATCAATGAATATGCAAATGACCCTAGCAGGGGTTTAATAAGCTCTATATATAACAATACAATGTCAATGTGCTCAATAAACATTGCCTAACATTCGTAACTTGTGATATGGGTTTGAAGATGTGTGGATATCTTTGTAAATAAACCCAAATGCAGATAGTTTGGTAAATATTATAGCCTACTTGCTGACTCTTGCATTGTGTTCATACAGAGTTTCAACAATTACTATGAATGAACAACCCTTATTTTGGCTGGTTTGTAGTTTAACGCTGCACTCAGCAATATTCCAGATATAAGGCAGCTGTCTGTAAATAATCGAGTCTGGACCAGACAATCCAGTGATCAACAGCATGCTCATCAATCTATGCAATTGGTATACTGAGTGAGCCTGACAACCCAATCCTGTTAGTTGCCTCTTCACGACAAAAGGATGGGTTACTGAATCAATTCCAACCCGGATCTTCATGGGTCAATGAATGAGTTTCCATGATATTGAACTTATTACAATGAATACCCTTGTAGCATATGCTTTTCGAATGACATCAAATGATATGTATACAATCGAGGAGCTTGGTGAATACTCTCAATATTACACAAATCATAATACTGACATTTGCACTAACTATCAATAAAATTACCCAAATTAAGGAGAGCCCTGATATCTATTGTATTTGAATTATAACAAGAATCTCTTGTCTCAGAAGTCTAATCTAGAGCATGGGACTGGCAACAGATTCAGAATAAATGACCCTGAAGATGAGCCTGTCATGTATAAACAACCTTACTCTGAATGGGCATTGGCACTCCATTTCTGAACCATACAGGAGGACTAAGAGCAGTTTTGCCTTTGCAGGTCTCATTAATGCGTAAATACAGCTCTCTCTCTTTTCTGGGATAGTTTGAGAACTCAGTGCCTTAACCCAGATAGGGCCCGGCTGAAACACAACAAGGTGAGAGGTGTGAACAACAAATCTGGGTATTACACTTTTTAGCAATCTCCAAGCAAAAATAATGTCACAGGACACCAGAAATCAAACATAGTTGTCAATGTGTACAATGAGAATGATGCCAATATTAATAAATAGTATAAATTCCTTTTTGGCTCCAATTACATCATGAAATCTTCTGATATCTCAACAGACCTCCATTTCGGCCCAGCAATCTCCAGCGTTGAGAGGCCAAACAATATCCACCATAGTAATGCAAGCAGGGCTAGGGCAAGGCTTTCAGTACACCCCTGTCTTTCTACCAGAAACCGTAAGCAATTAGTTCAAATTGGTTTGTTTTAGAGGGACTAATGTTGTTATTTTTTGATAAAGAATAAGTTAAGAATAAACTATCATTGTCACTGATCCTGCATCTGTTCCAGTATGGTTCCATGTCGTCACAAGTCAGTAGTCAGTATATGTAATGTTAAGACATGGGAAGGACTGATTGTTTGCTTATAGAACCCAGTTATGATCAGTGAAGCCATTACTAAAACATGTGCTGTGAATTTGTTTGATTTACTTGAAAAGGATAGGGCCTGTGTACAGAGTAACTGTAGACAGTAGCAATAAGTAAGTCAAATGGACCACCAAGCAATAATGCTTACATCCTACACCAGCAATATGGATGAACTGACAGGGTTAACAATATTTCCTTAAAGGCACAATTTCACACATTTTCAACAATATTTGGGACTATATTATATATATATTGGGGCATATGCCAAAATGTTTGCTTCCTATTGATGCAATAAAAGACTTATTATCCCTTCCGACTTTAACCTGATATCAATAATTGAAACTTCTAGGCAGAACACTTGCCATATATGGAATGAAAACAATTGCTCAAGTACATGCCAGCTATGCGCTTGCAAAGGTGTTGTCAGTGTTTGTCAAACTGGTTTTCTAAATCACAAGTTGAGTTACAGGATATTCATAAAGAGAGCTCCAAGGGACATAACTCTTTTGGTGTTTATGTCATATTCAGCAGTCATTTTTATATCCAATACATATCACAACATTGTAAAAATCCAATATGAGCAACGCAGTCTCACCTTAAGATGACAATACACACTGATATTCTCATGCTTCAGCAGTGTCAACAGTATATTACAAGGCACTGTTACAAGAACACTTGCTGGAATAAAGGGAAAGTAACTGTTCTGGATGGGCCACAAGCACATGTAGCTCCCTGTCATTAGCATTAGGATTAACTTTTCACTTACATGTGATGTCCATAAACAAAGATGTTTCACTGCTTCAGCACTATTACTTCCTTTACACTTGTACATTCCTTCATCTTCCTCTTGCATTCTTAATTCTCAACTTGCGACCGATTGTCAGCAACATATTCATACTTGTTGTTTGCTGTAGTGGTTGCCAGACTTGTTGTACCAGGTGATACTTGGCACTGGACTGCAAGTAAAAGATGAAATATTCCAGAAAATAGGGTATAATAATTGGCTTAGGAAAGCCTCCAAAACCACCTCATGCATACTCTCCCTGCTCCCAACAGCTTTGTCAAGCAGGCCCTGATTCCATAAAACGATCTTGGCGACACAACTATCGTAAACCAAAGTCTAGGTATGGGAGTTACGATCACCTAAAGATGGTTTTGTTGAACATGAGCCTGGAACAACTTCATGACACAAAGGAGCAGATAATGGGACAAAGCATCTGAGGAGGAAGTACACAACAGGGGCCTAAGGTGAATTAACATTGTATATGATTCCTGTATAAGTTATAAAATACTCCATGAACTTATCACGAACCATCAATCTGGACCGTTTTCATGAAAAACAGTATATATGCATGGAATAGTTAGCAGAAATGGCATTTGAGTTAAATCTTGAGTTCTTCAAAGTGATGCAGGTTATAGATGTTCTATACAACATAAAGGGAAATGAAAAATCCACATACTTGCCGCTGAGACACATTCAAGTTCAGCATCTTGTGTTCTCAAAAATCAGGCAGGATTAGTGTGGAACTGAGCTCATGCAAGGCACCTGTGGGACAGCTAAAACAAGAACAAGGATATTATGATTATCTGCTGCAGCAGCTTGATAGATTATCTCATGAAAAGGATGTTTACAACAGCTTGTTTGCATATGAAATACCAATGGCATATCCATTTGAGACTTTAACAGTGATAGGTATCATGAGCATGATAAATAGGTTAGTTGAAGTGTACTCTTTCCCATCGGCAATATCATTGGTCATATTTACAAAATGTTCACCATGACTTTGTTTCTTAAAGTCACACTCAGCAATATTCCAGTTGCCAGTATATGACTTGACCAGCACTGTGAGCAGCCATCAGAGTAATAATAATAATAATAGTGTGTCCATTTATATCACGCCAAACTCCACACAAGGTATGCTCATAGGGCTAACAATCAATAGCACAGCACATTATTACCCCGGATAACCCAAGCTGCCTGTTGAAACGGCTGAGAAGGTTATAGTCACATGATGTGTTCCCCAGGGTATCCACGTTTTTCTGCTGGGTGGTGAACAAGTGGCAGAAGTTTGAACAAACTCTACTTGCCTAAGGTGAGACCATGTATCACATATCTAGCACGTTGTGGGGCAGGGCTGATGTCCTAGAAAGGATCGGGAGTCAGAAAGCTGTCAAACATGGTCACCCATCCACCGGACTCTCCGCTCAAGCGTTGCTTAACTTTAACTGATTTGTGCACCTGAGCTCTGTGCAAGGACCACCACGACACCATGAGCAAATCATGACACAAAGTATCATGACAAGCAATCAGCCAATGTGCCTGATGACTGTCTGGTCACCTATTACAACTTACAAAGGTTTATAAGGAGGTAACTATTCTGACCAAGAATCCCCACAGGAACCTTCAATGAAATCCTGTGGTTCAGTCACTTACAAGTTCGCCAAGAGAGTCACTATGATGTCTTTCTCACTGCCAAGCTTGATAATGTTCAATTTCATGTTGAACATGCCACACTGTAAGTGTTATCACTTTGCTGATCTTCTTTCAATGTATAAATAAAATGAAGAGAACCTGAAAAAAGGTAGAAATATAATAAGCCATAGTTTTATGGGCAATGTTTATAACTGAAATAGTTTTACCGAACTCTGAAGCTAAATAATGAGCCTGTGAGTTTTACGCCCCTTTAGCAATATTCCAACAATATCACGGCGGGAGACACCAGAAATGGGCTTCAGACACTGAACCAATGTGGGGAATCGAAACCGGGTCTTTGGTGTTACTCCAGCGCCCCTAAATAATGATTTTTTGTTATCCCAGATAATCCAAGCTGCCAGTGAGACACTAGAAAGTTAACAGTCATATGACTTATCCCACCATGTACCCATTCAAAGCTGGGTGAACAGAGGGAATTCAAGAACAAATTCACTTGCCTAAGTTGAAACCACATGCGTCATGTCATGATGTGCGCGGGCAGGACTGAAGTCCTCGACACTCTCAGGAGTCAAGCTTCCAAACACAGGACCACCCACCACCAGCATCTTATTCTAGTTTTCATGTTTAATGTTTTCATTGTAAAACAAGTATTCTATTACAAAATGTTCCATGACAATATGTCAGCCTTCTAGCTAAGCCAGTGGGATATAACATATATAGATGAGTATGAGAGATATATATAGAAGAGAGGAGAAGAGGGAGGGAGGAGGAGAGGGAGGAGGGAGGAAGGAGGGAGAGGAAAAGGATATATATATCACATACCTGGAGTTGTCAGTATATATCCTGTCAGAATGTTTAACATCTGCCTTTGTTTCACTTCCAGACACTAAGTACCATGTATATTCAGCTGTGGGGACAGATATAGGCTGATTTTCACACTCAAGCTTCAGGTAAAACCCTTCATTAACTTTTGCTTCTCTGATCTGGGGATCTGGCCAACTATCTCCCATCTCTGGAAATATAGAGAGAATGTTTTGTTCAATAATGCCTTGAACACAGAACAGTATTGGTGTGTGTGCATGAGTTCATGTTTTTTTGGGTGTAATTTGTAAACGTAACCAAAAGGACTTTGAAGTCCAAGACAGGCACATACATCAGTTTTACCCTGCCCAATGTTCACAACTTTGTAGGATACTGCTAACATAAAAATGCATGCATAATGAACACATTACATACTTGGAACTAATTGTGGATCAAATTTCTTGTGCAATTACAGGAATCAGTTGCAAATGACTAAATTTTTTAATTTCCATCTGACTTCACTTTTTTGTAAACTTTGCCAACAAGATGAAAATATGCATGGCTTTGAAGAACAAATATACTCAAATTTTCCATACAAGCTGTGATACCTATTCACTTGTACTACAAACAAACTGAAGTACATAAGTAATAAGACAAACATGTACTGCGAACACTTACTGATTTCACGCAGCGTGATGACAGGGGACATAGCAGCTGCAATGATGCCGGTGGATATCTCATTCTCAGCAAAACATTGGTAACTTCCTTCCTCTCGGTCTGTGAAGCCGGTGATAGTCAATTTTCCAGTGATTGGATCTGAAGCAAAAGCTACTCCCTCTGCCGGATCCCCCATTAAACTCCCAGCGGTATCTGCAATTGGAGTAATGAAAACATTCTTGTTTGAATAACCTATGAAACTGAAATACTAAAGATAGCAGAGAAAGTACTTCAGCTAACTAATTTCTTGAATTTAATAAATGAAATGGTTGGTTATGGGAAAAGGACTGACTGACTGAGTTTGGTTTTACGCCGCTTTTAGCAATATTCCACTACCATCACGGCGGGGAACACCAGAAATGGGCTTCACGATGGGAAAAGGAAATAGTTGCAATATGATAACTGACTTGCGATAGAAAGAATAAAAAGGCATTGTGATGTCTCACATCACAGTACTTTCAAACTGGTGTTTACAGGTTGGCGACAGGTCAATCGGCATTATCAGAAACAGTCATCCCTTGCAATAACGCTCTTCACAATACCACAGATTTAGTTAAACCATGGGGTAGTCTGTGGCTCCTATTAAATTAAGCGATTACACATCTTCACGTCATTGAGAATAGCATATCATCACAAATCGGCTGTTGTGCCCAAGTTAATCATGTTGTAAACAAGAGAAATTCAGAATGTATCGCAATAATGTAATTTTCTGAATAAAATTGATATTTTTTACTTATCCTGACTCATGCTATTATTGCTTGTCTTCTTCTTCTTGCGAACACAGTGGAACACTTGTATCTCCCTTATTGAAGCTCCCTTCAATGTAAAATCACTAATTAGTACTCACCAAGAGTTGCCTCCCTCTTAGGCAATTGCGCGGGAATGGAGGAGCCACCTCTGCCCACATCTATCACTCTCTCCTTATATAACGAGCCCAACACTTGAATTTACTGGGAAATCCAAAGTGTTATGTGGGGAAGGATGGGAACTTACCTCATGAGTCAGGATAAGTATAAAATATCAATTTTATTCAGAAAATTACATATTTTCCTTATCTGACTCATGCTATTCTTAACTTGTAGAATCCCTACGGATCTGGGAGGTGGGAAAACAGAATACTTTGGATTTTAATAATTAGTGATTTAATAACTGTAATAACCCCTATGGGAACTTCATAATGGCACTGAATTGATAAATTCCTGCTGCTAAGTTTACCAGCTGCCATATATGGGTTACTACAATATAATTAGATATTATGATAAACATAATAATTATTTTTTTTTAAAATATTTTTATTTCCCAAAGTACATTTGTTGTTGTAGTACAAAAGCATCATACACAATACATCCTCGTCATCAAACATTGTGCAAAACATCACCATCAATACAATCAATCAATACATCAATACAAAACAATCATCGTATGTTCAGGGTGAATTTACTATAATGTATCTGTTATCCTTACCCAAGGCTAATATGTAATACCAGTACTTGTATTCAGATACACTTATCAAATTTTATTATACTTATATAACATCTAGGTTGGTATAATTTAGCAAAAAAGTGTATGGAAGGAGACCAGAAGGCATAAAATTTTGCTGGGTTTGCATTAGAAAATGCTGTATATTTGGTAGCTTTATAATAGTTAAGTATTTCCCTTTGAAGCCCTCTAAAATCTGGCTTTATATTATTTAAAACTTGTTTTTATATAGCATGTATTTCACTATTAGAAACACCAGATTAAGTGGGTTGTTGTTTTTACCTTTGAAACCAAAGATAATATTTTAGATGCGACAAATCAATATTTCCTTCAGACAGTATATACAGTAATCGGATACCTCCTCCATACTTTCACGGTATGTCGACATTCACACAATAAATGAATAATTGTTTTCAGAGCAGATTCAGGAATGAGCACATTGAAGAGTCTGTGTAATTCATCAAATGTAACTTATGTTTAGTCGTTAAAATATTGTGAGTAATCTTGAAATGAAACCATCTTAACTGTACACTTTCTGTACATCTATTTGCCATTAAATATGTTAGACCAGTCTTCTTTGTTATATTGTTTGTTGAGGATGTGTTCCTTTTTTTGACTTGTTGGTCCAGTTTAAACTAGAGGTAAAATGTATATTTATAAAAGGATTTGCTCCTTTGGTTTTGTCCCATATATACAAGATATATTAAGGTAATGTTGGTATTTAACCTGATAGGTCCAAGCTGTAAAGAGGGTATTTTTCTAAGTCTGCAATATGCTAAAAGACAGTACACTTTATACCTTCTAGATGGAGGAAGTTTATGTTTGCAATTCCATATTTTTTTTCTATATCAACTTTATGTAAGAAGTTTCCGTTCTGATCTAAGATATCACATACATAACATTATTCTTTTTTTTGCCATATTTTCATAGTAGATTGACTTTCCCTCTATTTTAATGTCATTATTAAACCAAAGAGACTGGTTGAGAATATCTGATATTTCTTGCACATTTGTGTAACACCATTTTAAGTAGTGGCACCATGCCATTAACTGCAATCCTCAAAATTGATTTGAGACACTGGGAATAATATTATTGCACATATTGTGCATCAGCATACCATAATTTATTTGCATTGTCTGGGATTTCATTTTACCAATAGATGTACATTTTGAACTGTTGAGCAACAACTGTTTAATCCACATTATTTTTGTGCAATTATAGTAGTTCTTACAATGGGTACACTTATTAGGTCCATTCTTTGGTTTAAGATACATAATTCTAAGCTTTACAGTATCTGTTTCCCTTGCCAAACAAAATTAAAACACTTTTTGGAACTTTTGTAATGTGTCTTCAGATGGACTCGGGATGGATGAAAATAAATGGTTTAACTTTGGTAAAAGCAAGGATTTTAGAATAACACTTTTGCCCATTGGTGTCAAATATCTCAGAGACCAAAATATTCATTCTTGGTAGATTTTTCAAATTTATCATTATAATTTAGGTCTACAATGTTATTTAATTCCACATCAAAAACTATTCCTAAAAGTTTAAAATTTGATTGTGTCAATCAGATTCCATTCCTTGCACATCTTATACCTAGATCTTTTTTTTTTGACCCTATCCATATTAAGCCTGTTTTTCTCGTTAACTTTTAACCCTGAAAATCTTGCAAAGGCTAATTTGTTCAAGACTGCATACAAACTTGATTCAGATCCGTCTAAGGTCTGTAGTGTCATCTGCAAATTGGGCTAAAAGGCTTTGTATATTACCTATCTTTATCCTTTAATTTTCTTATTTTTTCTTATTAGAATAGCTAGTATTTAGGCACATAGGATAAAAATGTAAAGGTGATATTAAGGTCTCCTTGTCGGCATCCCTAGTTATCTTGAAAAACTCTTTCATAAACCCATTTTACTAATACACTTGATTCACTATGGATTTAGCAATACTTGTATCAATTTTGAATACATGGTCCAAAGTTGAAAAAGTCCATTACATTTTGCATAAATCTTCTGTCAGCGAGTCAAAAGCTTTTCAAAATCAATAAGCAGTAATAATCCTGGAATTTGATATGATTCACTATAGTCCATTCGTCATTATATCTGCCTTGTGACTTCTCCTATGTATCTTCCTTGAATAAAACCTTTTTGATCCTCACTGATAATAAGTGGTAATATTGTCTTTATTCAATTTGCTATAACTGCAGAAGCTAGTTTGTAGGAGGTATTTAGTAGTGATATTGGTCTCCATTTTTTTAGCATTTTTTTACTTTTACCACTCTTAGGGATACAAGTAATGAGACCTTGTTTTTGTGATACGGACATGGAACCATTTTCATATGCATATTTCAAGGAGTTAATTAGAAATTTATTTAAGTCATTCCCAAAAAAGTTGAGGAATTCACTCGAGAAGCCATCCGGCTTAATAATAATTAAGCTACTCCAAATGGAGAAGCGACCCAAAGTACATACAACGTCAGTACTGGGCTTAAGACTAAAATAGACTTAAGCTTAATATATATAATAGCACACAACTCCGTAGAGTTATAAGCTAGATAGTACTGTTATGATATAAACAGGAAGAAATCTCGTAAGACTATGACTTATCGTCTCCGAGGGACTGTCAACGGTTGTGCGAGGACCATGGGACCGAAATGGTGAATACCTTAGACGTCCTCGGTGGTGATATCTCTCAGATAGTGGTTGGCAAACACCATGTCCGATTTCAAAAGCAGCCCTCCATAATGGTATTCAAGAGCAATTGCCGGTGTAGTAGCGAGTGTTGAAGCCAGTGCTCCAATTTCATGTGGATTAGATGCTCTTGGAGGGGTCAAGTCCTGCAGCCTTGTGGTATGAGTAGTATGACAGTTCTGATCCATATAGCGAAATGGAGTAGTGCGAGACTTCAGTCTGTGTAGCTGTCGATAGAGGATGAATAACAGCGAGTTTTAGATTATTTCGGTTTGGATGGATTGTAGATAGAATTTTGAGAGTGCTCTGACTGGGCATAATGATAGATCAAAGCGTATCATGAGGTCCGAGAATTGGCGAGAGTGCAGGGACATGGAATAATCTGTCTGGTTGACCTGGCAATTGATTCTTGGCGATGAAATCCCAGCGTAGTCCCATATGCACGATGTTTTGATTGTCATCAAACCGTGTTCTCTCATAATCTAGTGCGTGAATTTCTGACATCCTGGCTGCCATTGCTAGGGATAACAGGAACAATGTTTTCTGTGTCAGAATGCCTCACTTGTGAGGTGTTGGAGCACTTTGTTTAGATCCCATGCTGGAGCGCGAAATCTGTTTCTGATCCTCCAATCAGAATGCACATAGTAAGGCTAAGTTGGTTAACTTGACACCCGTTCTCATAGTTATCCAACTTAAAAGCTGCGAGATATGTTGACGACACTGATGTTGAGCCTTTTAGGCGTTTAGTCTGTCGTAAAGTAACATGGGTAGTCAGCCACAGCCGGATGTGTAGCGTTCTAGCTGTAAATCCCCTTTTAAAGCAGTATGTTTCAAAAGCTGTTGCCACTTGTCGTCATACAAGTTCTTGGCGTGGAATTACATAAAGCAAAGCGTGACTGCTTTAGCCGCTCTGGCTGAATAACCTCTGTTGTTTAGACACACCTTAATACAGTCCATCACGTGAAGTTGGAATGCTTCTGGCCT